CCAGTAAGCAGCACCCCTCCATGGCCTCTGCATCAACTCCTGCCTCCAGGTGCCTGCCTTGCTTGAATTCTTGTCCTGACTTCCTTCAGTGATGGACTATGGAATATGGAAGTGTAAGTCAAATAAACCCTTTCTTCCCCAACTTGCTTTTGGTCATGGTGTTTTATCATAGCAATAGAAACCCTCACTAGGATGCCTTGGTCATGGTATCTCTTCACAGCAATAGAACAGTAACTAAGAAACTGAGTATATTCAGACTTTCCCCCATTATCTATTCCCTAAATAATACACTATAGCAACTATTTATATAGTGATTACATTAAAATAGTTATTATAACTAGCTAGACATGATTTAAAGAATACAAAAGGATGTCCACAATTTACAGGAAAGTACTATAACTGCTTGCCCTTCTGCTTTTGTGAGTGGTGTACTCTCTTTGTCAAGAGAGAAGTTTTGCCTTGTTGAGACATTTCAAAAAGAGTGCTGTGGCACTTATTAAATAAGATTTTAACATGAATAAATTTTGGCATGAAGTAGAGAGGGATCTTGGAACAAAACCCCAGAAGATACCAAGGGTCAACTATACATGATTTTTATGCCATTTTGAAACCATGAATATTATCTATTCTAACATTTTTTTGTTCTCATACCTTTCCCTTAAGGACTCATCTGTCTACATGGTTAAGTGATTTATAGTTGTTTCACATCTTACTAATGTTCTTTTCATTTTCTTTGGATGTTTCATTTTAGAGAATTTCTAATGATAGGGCTTGAAGTTCACAAATCTTTTTTGGTTGGCTATGTTTTATTTTCCATTAGTCCAATTCAAGTTTTTTAAAGTAGGCTCTTACCATGTAGCTTAGGCTGGTCTCAAGCTTTCTATGTAGGCCAGAATGGCCTTGAATTCACAGTAATTGCCTTGTCTCTGCCTCCTGATTGCTGGGATAACAGGGATGCACCACCATGCCCAACTTTTTTTTTCTAACTTTGAGACACTTTTGCTATGTAGCCCATCCTAGCTTAGAATTCACAATACTCCAGTCTCTGTCTCAGAAGCAATTAAAATTACAGGTGTGCACTGGCATGCCCAGTACCAATTCAAAATATTTTTATCTCAACATTATCGTCGTCATCTATAAAAGTACATTTTGGGTCTTTTGTTACGTCTTCTCAGTCTTTAATTTTGTGAACATTTTGAATATAGAGCATATTGATTTCATGCCTTTGTCTGCTAATTCTGATATCTATGACAGTTTTTGATATGCTTTGATTGGTTTTCTCATTATAGGTTGTATTTTCCTGTAACATCAAGCCTCTTGTTCTATCACTTCATGGGAAACAAAGGGGTTAAAGGCATATGGTAAACACCAGATTACACAGTTAGCAAAATGTGGAACATGGGAACCTCCACAAAGTATCCATCTCTTTAACATGTAAAGTGCAGAGAAGAAGAACTGGAGGGATAGCAAAAAGATTAAGAGTGGATACTGCTCCTATAGGGGAACTGAGCTTGCTTCCTAGGACTCTCATTGGAAGCTCACAACTGCCTATAACTTGTAGAGGACCAGCTCCCACATTTATTTACCCCAGGAACTCTTGAGGAATGAGGGCTAAGAGACTTAGTTAGAAATAGAGAGGAAGAGAAACAGAGAGAAAACACAGGATAGACTTGGGTGGGCCTGGATCCTTATCCAAATGGGCCTAGAACTTTATTCCAAAGGTCTATTTATAACAATGCCAAGGAGTGGAGCAAAAGACCTCCCCCTTGCTAGTTACAGTCGCCTGGCACCCAGGCCATGGTCCCATCAACCTCTTATGCAGTCCTGCTGGGTACAGCCACTAGGAAACCTAGTGGGCTCCAACAGTAACTCCTCTTTAGGGAGATGTGATTCCCTCTTCTGGTCTCTTTGAGCACTTGCATCCACATGCACACTCCCCCACACAGACATACACATCTACACATACTTTTAAAATAATTAAAAGAAATCTTAGCCTGCAAAGAATGAAAAAGATTTAAGAGACTAGCCAAATGCTGGGGCTGGGAATTTGGTTCTGTGACAGAGCGCTTGCTCAGCATGCACAAGACCCTAAGTTCAATACCCAGCACTGATAAGTAAGAATAGAAATAAAATTTTTTTAATGTTTTTTAAAGAGAGAGAGAGTATAGTCAAATGCATTGTGAGGATTTTGCTTGGGTCCTGCATTGTAAAAATAACTCAAAAGACATTCATGGAAAACTTGAATACTATGTCATATATTAAGAAACTGTACATATTTAGAAATTATTCATTGAAAAAGATACCTTTAATCCCAGCACTTGGGAGGCAGAGCCAGGCGGATCTCTGTGAGTTCAAGGCCAGCCTGGGCTACAGATCGAGTTCCAGGAAAGGTGCCAAAGCTACACAGAGAAACCCTGTCTCAAAAAACCAAGAAAAAGCCGGGCGGTGGTGGCGCACGCCTTTAATCCCAGCACTCGGGAGGCAGAGCCAGGCGGATCTCTGTGAGTTCGAGGCCAGCCTGGACTACCAAGTGAGTTCCAGGAGAGGCGCAAAGCTACACAGAGAAACCCTGTCTCGAAAAACCAAAAAAAAAAAAAAAAAAAAAAAAAAAAAAAAAAACCAAGAAAAAGATAACTTAATGATTTTTATGATATTCTTTTAAGTATGTCTTATTATTTAATGAAATGAAATTATTAACAGGTGAAATAATACTCAGATTATGATTTTCTTCAAAATAACCTAGGGAAGCAAAGAGGAATGTATGGATGGAACAAATTAGCCATGGAATAATAATTGTTAAATCTGAGTGGGTGGTGAACATTTCTTGTTCTTTCTACTTCCAAATTTTTTATTTTATATATTTGCACCAAAAATATTTGATTTTTGCCATTATTCCTGCTGGATATTTTTCATTGTAAAATTGTTCAGATGCCTCCTTGCATGAGAAAATTTTTATTACTCTCCCTACCCCAATGGAATTGTGTTCAAGACTATTCCTCTATTATCATAACAAATTACTCATTTATTCTCAAATATTTTCATTTCTTGGCCATAAGCAAAGACTGTATGTTCTTATTCATAACACCTTCCATAGAGTCTGGGGCCCAGTAAATTGTGATGAGTTGGCAATGCACCAAGATACCCATGACAGAGGGACTGGTTCCATTGTATTGAACCAAGTTTCCAGGCATGAATTGGGTCCTTTTCTGGAATGGGGGTTTTATTTATTTGCTTTCTTAGTTATTGAGACAGATTCTCATGTAGGCCAGGCGGGCCTCCAGCTTGTTATGAACCATGGCCAGCCTTGAACTCTTTCCTGATCTTCGTGACTCTGACTCCTACCCAGAATTGCAGGCAGGTACCTCCACGCCCAGGAGGAATTGTGTCCTTTACATTCCAGTGAGACTGTGTGTAAGTGCATGTGAAGGCCCTGCAGGAGTCCTCAGGTAGAAGCAGGGAGTGAAGTTGTTTCATGATTGACTGAGTACTTCCTGTCCTCGCCATCAGGAGCTGTACTGTGACCTTTGCCACCTCTGTGTGACTTGCCCTGCCTTCCTCACAGGATTGTTCTGACTCAAAGAAGATACATTCAGTGTTGGTATGTGGAAGGCCTTTTTAAATGGGAAAGTATAAAGTTGGACGTGTAATGGTCTTTCTTCTTCCAGGGCACAACAGACCACATTTTAGCTTCTGGAAAGACTAACTTGGTGAAATGGTTCAGGAAGTAAAGCCTGTTTGGGGCAATTTTATAGACATTTTTCTGTTAAAAAATACAAAAAAATAATTTTCATAATCAAGCTTACATGTAGCTACAGAATGTAATATACATGTTGTTTGCTTGCACCATCCATACATAAATAATGTATGTATTCACATGTACACTTAATATGGCGATTGGTGTTGTGCTAAGAGCTGTTGATGAAGGAAAGTGATAAACCATGCTCCCAGAGCCTGTCCTCACAGTCTGCCCAATTCTTGGCTCTTTTAAGTCTTTACATCTGATTCTTCATCTCTACAAGCATGTCACTCACACTATTCATTCTTCTGACTGACTGACTTGTTATCTATATTCTTCTATAATGATTGATTTTCTAATTAAGAATTGAATGTGCATTTTTTATGTTCATTTACTTATATTCTTTTTTATTTAAATTTTCTCATTTTACATACCAACCACTGTTCATCCCCTCCTCCCCCCATCCAACCCCCCGAACGTGCATTATTTTTATTGTTGAGCCATGATATTCATGTAGGCCAGATTGGCTTCAAACTAGCAATATAGCAAAGGATAACTCTGAACTTCTGATTCTCTTGGCTCCTCCATCTCTGCAGAGCTGGAATTAGAGGCTTGTGTCAACTCTCCCAGTTTATGTGATTTTAATTGGTGTTAGGCACCTATACAAACTGAGCTATGTACCTAGCCCAGTCAACCATGTATTTCCCCGTTTTAGTAAAGGCAAACCTTGTTTATTATTTTAGCTAGGGTCAAAGCTTCAGGCATCAAAATTGCAAGTGTTTCAGAACAATCCATTAAGTTGTGCATTTGTTTTATGTAGTTTTGTTTAACAATTTTTAAATTCTGTTTAACAATCTGTTTAAAAAAATAAATGAAAACTCTTCTCTCAAAACTCATACAGCTTGGGCTGAGCGAAAAGGAGCTTGCAGGTGCGGGCCACCGCGAGGCGTGGAGACGGTAGTCTGGGTCACACAGCCTCCCAGAAGGGCAAGACAGCTAACGAAGAGGACCGTAAAAAGGGCAATAAAAACAATGACGGCCGTCATAAAATGCATACTTTTAGCATGAAACTCCTTCGCCAAACAGTACGAACCGCCGTCCCCGTTATACAAAGCAGTGCACAGCGGCAGCCGCAGCGGCTCTCCCGGTGCCCCTCAGGGACCCCTTTCAGGGGAGGGGGGGTTGGGGGAGGAACCAGGCGCGGCCAGGTGGGCGGGGCTGGTGGGCGGGGCTGAGGCGCTGGCGGGTGGCTGGGCGGCTGGGCGGCTGGGCGGGGCGCGCTCAGGCCTCGGCTCCTCACGCGCGGCGAAAGCGGCCCAGACCCCGCGCAGCGGGAAGCCGGGGCGGTGTGTGGCGTGGCGCTCGAGAGCCGAGGCAGCCGCTGGAGGAGGAGGAGGAGGAGGAGGAGGAGCGGCGGGCACTGAGGTAGGCGCACCGACGCGGGGCGCTAGGTCAGCTCTGCTTCTGAGCCCCCGGCCCGCCGCGGGCTGGCGAGGCCGAGGGGCGGCGCGCGGAGACCGGGGCGGGCGGGGCCGGGGGCGGGGACTGGCCTGGCCGCAGGGGCCGCGCGCGCTGAAGGGACTCCCGGCGGAGCGCAGGCACGGCGGAGGACTCCCGGGGCTGGCGGCAAAGGAGAACGCTGGCCGGGGTGCCCCGCGGAGGAGCCCGGGGTCGGGGGGGGGGGGCGGATGGCCGGCGCCTCCCACCTCGCGGGACGCTCGGGCCGGGAACTCGTTAACAGGAAAGCTTGGCAGAGCAGCAAATGCCAAGGTTCTGGAAGAACTGAGAGTCACGTCGTTCCGCGCTGAGGCTTTATTTTCCTTCCCCGCCCCCTGGCCGCCTTCGGCCAGACTTGGCCAAAGAAGGATGTGTCACCAGTTCGGGGCTGCGGGAGGGATCCCGGCCACCCTGGGAACAGGGGCACCTGAAACAAAGGTAGAGGGCGGCCGAGTGGCTGAGCTGCAAGGGCCTCGGCGGCTCCCACGGTCTGCCGGCCCGGCGGCCGCCTCCGAGGGGCGTTCTCCTTGGGGACCACTCGATGGAAACCAGCTGGCTGGGCTTGGCGTTGATGTTGCATCGGAACTGTGTTGTGCTCACATTATTTCCATTCCTCCCACTCTGATAAAGCCTAAGGAAATTTTATCCCACTCGATGCTCTGCAAATGCGGAGGGGGGAGACAAATTGCTGTTTGTAAATTATAAGGTATTTTCTTTGTAGAAACTAGTTTGAAAACAGAATAAATGCTTTCACACGCAAGTGAAGGGAATGATTTGTAGTGCCTTTCAAAATCTGAGAAGAGTTCCTCCTCAGATCTTCATTTATGTACAGAACGTCCCCGGCTTCTCTGGTGCCAGGCATTTTTCTTTGTTCTTCGTTAGTGTCTGGCCTCAGTTTCTTGTAAACAGAGCATCAAGCACAGAGACCCTAAAAATTGCCATACTAGGTCAGAGCATGGGCGTCCAGCTAAGCAGGCAGCAGACTCGTGTTGTAGTAAAACACAGGGTTTTTTCCTTTGCACTGTAAAAAATTATCTCAATTTCTTTCACTGGTCTCCATTACTGAAAGCTTTAAAAAAAATCTACAGATGGCTTCTGATTTGCACTCGATTTATTCACGTTTATTGCATTCAAAAGGCTCTCTGGTCGTTTCTGACAGACTTATGTCAGGAGATACTTGGTGGGGGGGGCGGGGGCGGGACTTGGATCTTTTACTCAACCTGAAAGCGCAGATCAGGAATACAAAGTTTTGGTATATTTTGTTTTTTAATAGAAAGCTTTGGGAAAGCCTTTACAGAGCCAACGTAGTTGTTGGATTTAATGATAGCTTTATACACTAACAACCTGAATATTAAGCAGTTAATGCTTTACTTTCATGTGCAAGATTTGCATATGTTAAAATGTCACTATGCTTGACATTCTACATAGTGAAGGACTGTCTGACTTTATCTTGGTCTGGATTCATCTGGCCTTAAGTTTCAGCTGAAACCAAGTATCCTGAGAGAAAGGAAGTTTTGCTTGAGCAGGAAGAGAATAAAGGGGTTGGGCAGTTACGGAGTACAGGATATTTGAAGGTGATAAACTCCTCAGCGACTCATTTCTGATCAGTATAGTTCCAGTTGATCTGGCCTCTGTCAGTTCAACAAGTAACTCAAGCTTTACATCTCTGAAACTCTTCTTGAGATCCTTCCGATTCACACACACACACACACACACACACACCAAAAGTAACAACAAAACCCCACCAGAGCAAGAAGTAGAATTGACTAACCTTTTGAGTATCGCCTCTCTATCAGGGTTTCTCATACGTGGTACTATTGACATTTTAGGTCAGATTAATACTTTGTTGTAGAGGGCTATCCTGTGCAGTAGAGGATGGTTAGCCAAGTTCCTGACTTAGAGTCCTAGCTATTAGTATAGTACCACACACATACTTAATAACAATCCAAAATGCTTCTAGACCAGTGGTGACTCTTTAATACAATTTCTCATGTTGTGATGACCCCCAGCCATAAAATTATTTCATTGCTACTTTATAACTGTAATTTTGCTACAGATGTGAATGGTAATTCCTGTGTTCTCCCATGTTCTTAGGCAACCCCTCTGAAAGGGTCATTTGGCCCCCAAGTTGAGAACCGTTATTCTAAACATTGCCAGGTATCCCCCGAGAAGGGCCAAATTATCCATAGTTGAAAACTACTGTTGTAAACTAGCTGTTGCCTTAATCCCAGGACACTGCTGTTGTATAACATTATTTTAAGGTATGTTACTTTTGTTTATGTTGATTTGTTTAACTCTGTGAAGCTGTGTTACTGTGCCTGTCTAGAACAACTGATGGTCTAATAAAGAACTGAACAGCCAATAGCAAGGCAGGAGAAAGGATAGGTTGAGCTGGCAGGCAGGGAGGATAAATAGAAAAAGAGCTCTAGGAGCGAGGGAAGGAGGACATCCGGGGCCAGCCACCCAGGTACACAACCAGCAACAGAGTAAGAAAGAACAGTATACAGAAATAGAGAAAGGTAAAAGCCCAGAGGCAAAAGATGGACAAGATAATTTAAGAAAAGCTGGCAAGAAACAAGCCAAGCTAAGGCCAGGCATTCATAATTAAGAATAAACCTCTGTGTGTGGTTTATTTGGGATCTGGGTGGCAGACCCCCCAAAGGAGCAAAACCAAACAACACAGTGCATTGCCCTTGTTTGCTGATATGTTGCCTTTGCTTTCCTAAGTAAGGGCAAGAGAAGTCATTTATTTCATATGGGACAACCTAATTTGCCAACTGGATGGTAGGTTAGGTCTAGGAAAACAAAGGTAAAAGCAACTGGTATGCTATATGCATTTCTGGTTCGTATAGTCTAAAGAGGTAACTGGTGTAAACATGTGTAATTAAACAGTTATCTCATTATAGCTGTGTTAAATTCTAAGAGAAGTTCAGGTTTCCCTGAGTATCTAAAATGTTACCCTTAACCTAGTCTGGAAATTGAGGAATGTTTCTTTAGGGGAAGTAACATTTGAGATGGACTCAGAAGGATAAACATGAAATTGCTAAGTAAAGCTTGGGGAACAGTGTTCTACACAGAAAGAACTGGAGACCCTGAGACAGAAAAGAATAGTTTTTCCTTGGGAGACCAGAAGCTAGTGTGGCTGGAACTTGAAGAGTTAGGGGGGCAGAATGATATAAAATAAGTAGGAAAGTAAGCGGAAGCTACCTGCTACTAATTGATTTCTCAGTCCAGCCTACCACTAGAATCATGCAAGGACTTAAATCAGTGTTGGGACCCTTCTCCAGGCCCATGAATCACAATATCTTCTTCCAACCACTATTTCCCCTATGCCTTCTGAATAACCACTGGTAATAGTTTTGTTTACCATTGTGGACTTTTTTTTTTTGATAGGCATCCTGTTTACACAAATGGTAACACACTGTGCTCTGTTCTTTTAACAGTCCCTTGGGAATTTACCCATTTTGATGTATATGTCCTTTATTTTTGAATGATTATATAGTATTTCTTTGTATGGCTACATTAAAGATTACTCAGCCATTCTCCTATTGATGGGTATGTAAATGTTTCCAGTTTATTATAAAGAGCACTATAAATATGCCAGTTCACATGTGTATGGGTGTATTTGTGGAATAAATTGATAGAAATGAGATTACTGGACCAAATATGTTTGTGAAAGATCATCATATGGAAAAAATGATTTGAACAAGGTAGCTAAGATATTAAAAAAAATGGTAACTAGGACTAGGATGATAGCAATGGAGCTAGAAAGAAGAACATGTGTATATGAAATGTACTTAAGAGGCATGGTTGATAGGATTTAGAACAACAATTCTCACCTGTAGGTCAAAAACCCCCTAGAGGTCACATACCAGATATCCTGAATATCAGATACTTACATTACTATTAGTAACAGTAGCAAAATTACGTTTATGAAATAACAATGAAATCATGTTATGGTTGGGAGTCACTACGACATGAGGAACTATACTTGGAGGGTCACAGCATTAGGAAGGTTGAGAACCACTGGTTTAGAAGAAGATAACGGCACAAATGTTGAGGGTAGAAAAATAACTTCCTAGAATGAATTCCAGAGCACTAGGTTGCCCCAAAATGTGAATAGTGGAGTTTTTACCTGAAATAGAGAATATCATAAGGATAGTTTTGAGGTGGATTTAAATCATAGTTCACATGTGTATGAAGGCACTTGACAGTTCAGAACCCATAGGGGGAAAAAGCATAGAACTGGAGGCACAATTTTTTAGGCTTAAGTTGAAGTGTATGGGTGAAATTATTCATTGCAGAGGTCGCAAACCAATAGCCCAACATAGAATCTAGCTTACAGATGTTTTAGTTTGTCCATGAGGTAGTTTCATCATTAATTCTGCTTAAGTTGCCAATATTTTTAAATCTGAAGATTTTTAGAGAGAAAATGAATGGCACACTACACTCTTTCTTGTATGGCAACAGTGATCAGAGGTTAAGTCACAGCTGATCCCAGTCAGCCACTCCCTAAAATTTATGCCTGGCCTGCTTTGCCTCTGCTTCCGTATTTTGTGAGTGAGTGTGTGTGCACATGTGGAAGTCAAAAGATAACTTTCAGGAGTTGGGTGTCTCCTTGTTGATGCAGGATCTTTGTTTTCCCTGTGCTGCCACCTCTAGGCTTGGTGGCCCATGAGCTTTCTGGTTATTTTTCCTGTCTCCATCTCCCATCTGACTGAGGAGTGCTGGCATTGCAGATACATGTAGATGCACCACATAGTTCTGAGGGTCAAACTCAGGCTTGTAGTACAGGTGCTTCTACCAGCTGGCCAACTTGCTGACCTAATTCTGTGTGCTTTTGAATGTATAATCTCTGGTCAAGGGAGAGTATTGGAAAACACTGAATTATTTTTAAAAAAAAATACCAATGCTAGGGTTGGGGAGAT